GTCCCGGGAGTGTCTTATATGTAGTTCTTCACTCAGCTTAGTCAGGGTCTGCATGTTTTGCTCCACTACTCCGGACTCGTTGATGTAGTAGCAGCATTCCTCCTGAAGGAATATGCAGGTTCCTCCTTTTTCTGCAGTCAGAAGGTCTGAGGTGTGCTGGTTCTGTAGGCCTACCTGGGCTACTGATGTCACTTGCTGCTGTAGGGAGACCCTAACATGACAGGGAGGAAGGCGGCCCAGTGGGTAGGGGGCAGGATGGAGGGAGCAGCCAGGTGAGCTCCGACTCTCTATATAAGGTTAGTTGGGGAACTAGTGTGACCACGAAGCAAGGCCCGGGGTCAGAGGAGTTCATGCAATTGCTTAAGGTGACGTTGCACCAAAAGAAGGTACCCGGGCTGGCCTTGGTGAGACTGGCTGCGGTGTGGTTTTGGGTGCAGTTCCAAGTGACTTGTCCCTCAGTTCCGGATTACTGGTCTGGTAGCACATCTGTGGGGACAAGATGGGCTCTGGAGTTTCGGGAGGCATCACGGACCTTGAACCTCCACACATAAGTGGGTGGGGTTGGGTGTAGGTTCCTCAGGGCCGGGAGGAGAGGAGGAGGAGGGCGACCAAGGTGGACCTTAGTGGGGCCCAACACCTCACATTTATAGAAGTCATGCTGCTCTGGGGTCCTCTTGAGTCTGGAAAGGTGGTGCCACAATGGGTTGGTCGCCGAGCAGCTTGGCCGCAGTGGGGGTTTTACGGTGTGAGGTCCCGTCCACCTAGGTTCCAAGGCTTTTGGATGTAGATTCTTAAGGAGGACCGTGTCACCAGAATGAAGGGATCAGTAGGGAGATGGTGGTTGAGAAAGAAGGGTCTCCCATATAGGAGTTCAAAAGAGCTTAAGAAGGTGGGGCTCCTCGCTGTAGCCCAGATTCTGGTCAGGGCCATGGGCAGGAGGTTCAGCCCGGAGCTGCGAATTTCTAGAGAAAGCTTAGTTAGATGGTCCAATAGGTTGGAATTGAGTGGCTATGATGAGGGTCTGAGCCAGTGACAGACAAATCCAGCAGGATGTAGAGGAGGGATTGATTTTAGAGAGTAGATGGAAAGCTGTGTTGATGAGGGTGGGCATAGGAGTAGGCCCAGGGTTTGTAAATAGAGAGTGACACTAGAGGATTTCCTATCCCCGACAGTAGAATTGATGACTCCCTCATCATTCCATGTCCATTTCACCTGAAAATACTAAAAACCTGAGCTTTTTCCAGAGTAAAAATTGGAGGGTCCTTTGCCAGGTAAGAGCCTGTGAGGAATGATGGGTCATCAGGTCCTGGATGGTGTCGCCGAATCTTCTTCGGGGATGGTGGGAGGCATTTGATGAGCCTGAGAGAAGTAGGTATTGCAGTGAAAGTGGGAGGGAATGTAATGGGGCTATCATCAAGGAGGCAGGGAAGGGGTTCAGTGGTCTGCGGGCAGGTGGATCTGCTGTCAATACCCATGACCAAGATCGTGGAAGGAAAAAGGGGCCCTGAAAAGGAGGGCAGGACAGAGAAGGTAGCCCCCGTGTCAACCAGGAAGGTGATCCACTACCTTCAGCCCAGCCCTGGGCTTGGCAAGGGTGGTGGGGCCGTTGAGGGTGGCCTTCTTCAGTCTTGAGCCAGTCCCAGCATGGCCAGTGGCGGGTCATGACCTGGAAGGGCAGCCCCTCCACGCTGGGGTGTGGAGGGCCTGCCAGCTTTCCAGGGACAGTCATTTTTCTAATGGCCGCTTTGACTACGCGACGGGCAGGGCTTGGTTGGAGCCCAGGGCCGGGGGCACTGCTTTGCCCAGTGGCCTTCATTTCTGCATTTGAAGCATTCTCCGGGAGGTGTACGTCCTCCTGTTACACCCCCACCGTGCACAGCCCCCTTGGGGCCATGGCAGCTGCTGTCAGCCGCAGGGCCACAACCAAGGCGTGAGTTTGCAGGTCTACCTCCTGTGGAAGGCAAGCCTCCCGATTTGACTGTGCCCTTCCTCATGGGCATTAAAATCTTAAAGGCCATGTTCACTAGATCTTGGACCAGGGTCTGAGGGCCATTAAGGACCGTAAAGTGCCAGGGTTCATGTCCCAGCATCAAGAAGGGTTCAGGAATCTGGAAAAGGCTGTGCACAGATGACATAGAAACCCAGAGACTAATAAAGAGTCCGGAGACGAGATATAATTTTGAAAGGCATTGGGGGTCAGAGGACCTTCAGCTAAAGGAACTGAAGAGTCCCTCCTTGTCTAGGCCCCTTGCTTTTATTAACACAATTTGTCCTAAGGCAAGGTGGAGATAATATACTTCAAAGGGTAAGGTTTCAAAGGGAACAGAGTCCATTGTCAGAATGGGGGAATTAGCCTACGGCTGTTCAGGTGTTTGGCCAGTAGGAGGCCATCACATGTAGATTAAGATGCCTTTTAGCTGTCTGGCAGCCACAATGCGTTTCCTATTCAGTTCTGGGGAAAGGCCTTTAGCCATTCCCAACAGGTGACTACATGTGTGACTCAACCCTGTTGAGTCCCCAAGTTTCATCAACCTTTTGATGAAACTCTTAAAATTATTATGACATACTGGAATTGGTTTCCAGCAGTAAAGGTCAGGTTAAGAAGGTCTTTTTAGGGGTTTATGGAAGTTTACGGTAAAGGTGGTCAGGTCAGTGGGAAAGGACCCTCATGCCTCTCAATATGTGAGGCTGGACATAGAGAATGGGACATGGACTCAGACTATGCCCTCAGTTCCTGCTTCCTCCCTCAGGGATAGAATGGATGCAGAAACAGAAGAGGCTGTTGAGGAAGGCAGTCTGTGGCTGGCCGGAGAATGAGTGTTGGAGGGGAAAGGGTGTTTTGGAGCTCACGTTCTCAGGATTTGGGCTCTCAGGGATAGGAAAGAAGGTGGCTGCTGGTTAAGAGGGTCTGAAGAGAAAGAGCTGAGGCTTTTTTCAATTTGAGGAAGATCAGAGAGTGAGAGGGAATGGCTACCGGGATAAAATCCTTCCCAGCTGCAACCTCTCGCAAAGGGAACTGGCCAGCCACCTGTGAATTCAATTGGTGGCAGTCATGGGGGCGGAGATTCGGCAGAGCCCACAGAGGAAGGTGGGCGGTTAGAACTCTCAGAGGGTAGGTATAGTGTGGGGTACAGGTTTCTATGTCAGAGTCGTAAGTGGGGGTAAGAACGGGAGAGGTGGGGATGAAAGATCCTGGGCAGGCAAACAGGGTGGGGCTGGCAGAGAAGGACTCCAGCCGCTTCTCAATTGTACTCAGATGCTACAACCTCCCAGGGGCAGGGCAGAGAGGAGGGGGGTCCTGCGAAGACTGACTGGGGAAGCAGGAGGGGTTAGTCACCCAGCGGCTGGAGTTTCCCCGCAAAGCAGCCGCAGGCCAGGCGCAGGCCAGGCGGAAGAGGGGAGGCGGGGTCAGTGGGTAGCGGAGAAGGTGTTGCTGGAGGAGGGTCAGGCAGGGAGGGAGGAAGGGAGAGTGTGGATGAACAGGAGCACCAGGTGGCCTGTGCCGGAGGAGTTCGCCCCCCCAACCCCCCACTCACCGCACACACCGCAGGGCACACTCGGCAGGTTCTGCAGCGCAAAGGCAGCACGGCCACAGCCTGGGGGGAGGAGGGAGGATGGGGCGAGGAGAGAAGGCAGAAGGGGCATTGGGGGGAGCAACGGGGATGCAGAGAGATGGAGAGACAGAGAGGCTTGGGCATATTTCTAGTTCGCTGGCAGAAATTACTGAGCTCAGTACAGATGGCAAAGTCAAAGTCCCATTTTCATACTGAGGCCATGCTACATTACAGAAATAGGATGCAGGTCCGGGGCAGGCCTACTGTTTAGCCAGGTTGGTGGGCAGGCACCCTAGAGGTGTGCTCTGATCAGGTTTGGAATTTGGATTCCCCACGCTCAATACCTGTGGCTTGTAGTCTAGGTCAAAGGCCAGCGTCCCAGCGGTTTGACCCAAGCTACGGAGGGACGGAGGGACAGGGGCAGGTAGAGACGTCTCTGCTACCCTCTGAGGTCCGGAGGAGCCTTCCTGGAAGGGTCCGGAAAGGCAACCTCTGACGCGTTTTACGGACAGAGACACCAGCGGGCGAGTGGCCACGAGGGACCTGCACGGGGGCGGGATGGGACTCACCGCAATGTTTCCAAACCAGGAAAAGGCTGCCGAGCTGAAGAAATGCGGTCCTGAGGGGTCCAGAGCCATGAGGAGGGAGAGGCGGGCAACCTGAGCCATGGAGGGATGGCCAAATGGGGTGCTCGCGCCACCCGGGTTTCAAAGCACCAAATGTTAGGTGGCTCATGAGGTGGTGCAGAGAATAAGGAGAACCAAGCCAGTCAGAGAATAGGAAAGGAGAAAGTTTTATTCTGCATCCTCGGGCGACCCACGAACCACAAAGACAGGGCCAGTGGATTGGCGCCAACAGGGAGGGGGGCGCTGTTTTTGTACTGTGGTTGGGTGAGGAGCAGGGACATGAACTGAGGAAGCTCCTGCCACTGGGGTCATCGCAGTATTTAGCTGAGGAAGTTCCCGCTGCAGGGGTCGGCAGAGTATTCAGGTAGGAGTCAGTATCTGTGTGGGGGTCAATTGGATTGCAGGGAGGAGCCGGTTTCTGTGTCTGGCACGCTGATCTGTTAGAAATTCCAGGGAGGGTCCGTTATCTCATCAAGCATCTGCATGTATCTGATCCTGGGCTCTCTCAGACCTAACATTTAGATGGAGGTAACTTCCCAGCCACACTCCACCTGCCTGCTGGGCTAGGCGACAATTTCTTCTTCCTACGAGTTTTGGGCCCAAATTCTCTCTGCTTTCTCATTCCATCCTCCTCCCACAAAGATAAGGAAGGGTCTGCACCTGAAACTGCCTAGGCCCCGCCTTCCTGAGCTAGGGCCGAGTTCTGGGCTGCATTTGGTCAGGCTGCATTGGTTGGAGGCCTGCCATCCATCCACACCCTGCAACTCTGCAATTTCAAAACAAGGCTTTACGGGGGCGGGTCTTGAGCCCTTTTATTAGGCACCTCCACTCTTCTTCCCCCTCAGAAGGCAGGAAACGTCTTTGTGGAAGATGGGTGTCTACCGCATCCGCGTGTCCACGGGGTCCTCGCTCTTCGCGGGCTCCAACAACCAGGTGCAGCTGTGGCTGGTGGGCCAGCACGGGGAAGCCGCGCTCGGGGAGCGCCTGCGGCTGGAGCGGGGCAAGGTGAGCTCCGGAGCTGGTCCCCAGCCCAGGGGACGTCACATTCCTGGGAAGAGAGGCGCTGGGCAGAGCGTGGCGCACAGCAGGCGCTCAATAAATGTCCGGGCCTTCTGGCTTTCATGGGATGGAAAGGATGCTCCTGCCTGCCCTCTGCACAGAGCTCTCTTTATGCAGAGATCATGAAGGGGTTTCGTGTCTCTGGTTTCCTCGATTTTATTTTGAGAGGAGGGAAGGAGGGAGGGAGGG